GTAGCAGTAGTAGCAGTGGTAGCAGCGGCAGCAGCAGCAGTGGTGGTAGAGCTAGTTGTAGTGGTACAGGCAGTGGTAATGGTACTGGTGGTGCTGGTGGTGGTGGTGGCAGTGATAGAGGGCGGGTTTGGGGATTGACGGAGTCAGAAAGTAATTAATGTTTGGAATTGGTCGGACTTTTCCCAACAAACTGCGAAGCTATCTGATCTGCCCAAGGGCCCTGGATGGCGTGGGGTGAAACATATCACATTCACAGTCATGGTCATCACAGGCACACTTGAACTGACTTTCAGATAGTGCTTGGTTTCTGGTCCGTGGACCTGCCCTGCCGAAGTTCTGGAACCTGTCGTTGTCGACAATGGCAGGAAGATACAAATTTCAAATCTCATGACAGTGTGGAGCATAGAATATACAATGCCAGGCGCTTTACCGCAGATGTGGTAGCAAGGCATCATGAAAGAGGTACTCATTGACCTTGAACTGAATGCGAAAAGAGCTGCAAATTCGATGCCGCCAAGCCTCCTGCGCCCTGAATCCCAAACCTGTGCCCGCAAACCCCTACTCAGCAGCACCGGCATCAAGCGTACCCACTAAATCCAAGACCTAGACCGAATCTTCAAACCTCAATGAATGCCCAGATGCGTCTCCAACTTTTGCATGCCCATCGATGATGGCCGTAAGAGTTCTGGCCTTCGGCAAGCCCTTACCTCTCACCCCCGAAATTTCATCTGGCCTGGTGTATGGCAACCCGTCAAGGATGTACGGTTTCGACGTTGAGACTGCGGGCTTAGGACGTTAGAGGCTCAGGATGGCCCTTGACCCTGGGCTCAGTGCTCGAGAGGCTGTAGGATTTTCCGGATTCTGAAGGTTATTTCTTGTTGCGGTGCAAAAATACCCAACTCTCTGTAAAACATGTAAGACAGCACAAGGCCAGTGAAGGCACTACCGCGAATATCACATGACCCGTGTTTGTTCCAAATCCGGGGACACCTGGTCGCCTTCGGTGCGCCTGATGCAGGGCTTCGGATTCACTTCATTGAAGGGCTCACATTTGGGAATCGCAGAAATTTCGGATTTGGGATCAGGGCTGTGTTGCAAGAAGCACGGTTTCGGCTTTCTGGGTACCGTAGACGGACACGAAAAACCTCCGTTAGACTGTTAGGCGAAGACTGAACAGTACTGGAGTGCTCTCAGAACACCCTATGTCGTAACTCCGAGCGGCATTCGGCATAAACTTGTCCTTCAACATCTCCTGGTGCCGTGGAGTTCAACGACAAGTCTGCGATCCGTCTCTCTAGTTCTAAACTCCTAAACGACGAATCCGACGATGTCACTGCAGTGTCAAAACTAGCAGCTCCGAGAAAACATGACGAAAGTTCGCAGCCCAGATTTCAGGTCCAAGTCGGTCCAGGTCCTAATCCCCGAACCCCTTCACGCACGGCATGCGGCACAGATTTCCAGCTAGCGTCCATCTCTGGATGCTTCGGGGTTGCCTCGGGCCCTAAGAAACTGCGAGACCTGAAGTTTGAGATCGCGATAGATCGCGCAGACCAAATGCCTTCAGAGCTAGTCTTCAATGCGTGTAGTATGAAACTGACTAACGTAGGCGTTAATAATTAGAATAGGGTTTTGGGGTATATCATGCCTGGAGTATATGAAATGAGAACCCCCCCCCATAAAATAGTATTGGTATTGATTGAGGCCCCTATATTGCAGTCTTGTGGGCCTTTGGCCCTCAACACTCTATCTACTACACCGATCCATACTGCCTTCACCGGAACTCCATATTGAGCCACAGACCACACGAAAGGCTTGTGAGCTCAGGATCCCCCTCTAGCTGAGGAGCAGCTCTGGTTGTAAGAAGCTCAATGTTCTGCCTTCAGCCAATGCTGGAGGCCGCGCAGGTCTGCAGCCTTGGCGCAGCTGTCCACCAATGTTGTGTAATACCTCACGGTTGAGGGTTTAGGCTTGAAGGCAGTAAAAGGTTCAGGGTTTGGGACTCAAGGTCGTGTGTACCGATACTGGAGGATTGCTATGCAGGCAGGCCATTGTAAGGCTTCTCAAGACGTGGAGAATCTGCAGTAAATCTAAAACGCACACAAAGAAGTTCAAACACTGAAACCTACTGCGTGCACTCCACCAAAAACAACCATCCGTATACGTTAGTAATGGTCCTTTACCGCTTGGATCTGCTTTGTACGACCTACGTGACCAGCCCCCTCGAACCGTTGCCATTCCCGCTGCTACATGCTTCCCTTCAGCTACTGCCACCTCCTTCCATCTTCCAGCCTCATCCTCCACCTACCACTACCAACCACTACCACTACCAGAATCAAAAAGCCACCAGAACGACCACTACGCCACTACGACTACCACTGCGACTATTACTACCACTACCGCTAGAGCTACTCTACTACTACTGCTACTACTGGTACTACTACTGGTACTACCAAAACAACAACTACTACTACAACTACTACAACTACAACAACAACAACAACTACTACTACTACTACTACTACTACTACTGCTACTGCTAAAACAACAACTACTACTTCTATTACTCTTATTACTTCTACTACTACTACTGCTACTA